ATCAGACAGGGAAGGAAGGAGGGGAAAACCAGTGTGAGATGAGTTAAACAGATCACTCCTATGAGCCAGGTGAGCTTGATGCTTTTGAGAGTAGTAGGTTCTGGGGTGTTTAATAACTGGTCTTTGTCTCCCTTTGGCTGTCCCCTGGGACATGGACTGCCCTGCCCTTCTGTACTGTCCTTGTGCTCAAGCCAAAGTCTTCCCTGAAGAAGTTTTGGGCAGTAAGAAAAAGGTATAGTGCAAGCCCTTGAAATGACAGGCTGTTAGCCTTAAGGGAAATGTAAGCCTACATAGGACGAGCTGTGGCAGCTATAGCTCAAGGCAGAGGTGGGCCAAAGGGTTTTTTACATCATTACCAGGAAAAGCTTGGACCAAATGGAGACATAGTGGAGGAAGGAATCACCTCCTTGATCTATTTTTAATTAATTCTGCTGTTCTGGCAAAATTAGGTAGAAATCTAGCCCTTTGGTAACTTAAATCCACACAGAGGATTAGGGATGGAAGGACAAGGTGACCTCACAGACATAGGTCCCCTTCCCTTTGGGAGAGCCTACAAGCCAGGAAACTTGGTCAAAGATTAATTTAGTGTCTTAAAAAAGGTATCTTTGATGAATGAAAGCAGGTTTTATGTAATAAAAAGCAATACTGTCAAAGTTTATGGCTTCCTACAACTTGACATAGTGAGTAGGGACAAGGTGGTACATCAGTCAAAATCTGTATTTCCTTTTAGCGAATTGTGGTTTGAAAACCAAAAGAAAAATCTCAGAACTGTAAAGACCAAGGAAATAGGCAAAGCATTCTAAGAATAGGACAGAATAAGCAATAACAAGTGCAGTCTTTGGCTCTCTTGCCCATGTTCCCAGAGCAGAGTATCTTAACTCACTTAGCTCCATGATGTTGGGGAAAGTTAACCAAATATGAGTGGAAAAAAAGAAATGAAACCGAAAGAAATGAAGTTGCAGAGGCAACTGACACTCTGTGAACTTCAGTTTTTTCCTCTGTAAAATCAAGGTGTTGACACTTCACAGCTTCTTGAAAGACTGGGCTGTTGAGAAAGTGCTCTGTAAACCGGAAGGCATTCTAAAATGTTATGATTAATCTAGAGTTTGAAAGGCACTTACTGCATTTTAAATTGCTGAAATGATACACACTACTCCACTCATTTAAAAAAAAGAAAGTACTATTTATCTTTGCATTGCCAAGGGAAAAGAAGTTTCAAGGAGCCAACAAGAATTAACAATATGTAAATAAATTTCTGGGAGACTTCAGGAAGGGAACACATGCCCTCTCTCATCTTGGCATTATACCATTGCTAACAATAGCTTTGAAATTCACATCATATGGATATATCCATATAGATGTTTTGGTGTTTTTTGAGACAGGGTCTCACTATGTAGTCCAGGTTGGCTTCAAATGCATGATTCTCATGCCTCAGCCTCCTGAGTGTTGGAATTGTGGGTGTGAATCACTGTTATTTTTATTATTGGAGATTTAATAGTTTTTCCAAAATCTCAATCTGAGTGGCAGGAGGTAAATCCCATAAACCGAATTCTCTTATATTCCATTTCGTTTCACTTATATTCCATTTCCTTTGACTAATTCTTCTGCTTAAGAAGTCAATGTCACTTAACTGCTTGTGCCCATTTTCTCTGAATATGCTTCATTTTTATTAGAAGGCACTCACTTTATTCACAGCTTTCTTTCTTTCTTTTTTTTTTTTTTGTTGGTAATGGGGTCTGAACTCAGGACCTCATGTTTGCTAGGCATGTGCTCTATCAATTGAGTCACTCTGCCAGCTCAAGAAGACACTCACTTTAGAATTGGGTTCTTGCCTAATTGCATGCTTAAATTGAAAGACTCTTCCAGATGTTATGGAATCATCCAGATGTTTTGAAATACAATTAAAAGTCTTGAGATGAAGTTTTGCAGAGTATTTCTGACATTTGATTTCAAGTATTTTTCCATCTCATTGACTTCAGTTCAAGTGAATGTAGTTCAGACCTATTGGGTGAATTAAAGCTGAAAGTTTCCAGAAGATGGGAATCTACCATTGACCCAGACAAAATGGAGCTTTGTTTTAGCATAATTTCAAATCTCTTATCACTACTGTTTCTTATCAACAGTGCTAAGGATTCTCTAAAATTTTTGTTAATTCATTGTGGCTTTGGTTTTTGCTCTCTTAAGGAATCTCACATCTGGTCTTTTGTTAGTAAAGACGTAAGAGAAGGAAAAACATACCAAATGAGTGCTTCCTTATTACAAATTAGATCATTGCTTTTTTTAGCTATGGCATGCATAGTTTGATGAAGGCTAGCAAGTTGGTCGGCTAGTGGGTGATTCCACTGAATCATCAAGCTTAGCTATCAAACCTTGCAAGCAGGCTAAGAAAGCTTCTGAGGCACCAAGCAGAGAAAGATTGACTATAAATGCAGATTTCAAATTTATAAATTTACAGTAGTCAGAAGAATTGAGATGATAATTATTTTTTCAGTATTTTCCATGTGTCAGGCATCATACAAAGTATGATATAAGGTATTTTAGCAGACTTCCTGGTTCAGTCCCATCTCTGTCATCTACTAGCTGTGGTCATAGGCAAATTCATTAACATTGTGCAAGTTGCTTGTCTCATTTCATAAACTGTCCATTGCCTAGCATGCACAGTGTTCTGGGTTCAATTCCTAGAAATGCATAAAGCACTCAGAATGCCATGCACATTGTGCCTGTACTCTCCTTGACATTAAGATCAATTTTCCCAATATTCCTAAAGTGATACATGCCATTACCATTCCCTCATTAGGGCGAGAAAATGGTTGTTAAATGTGATGGTGGAGATGTTCTATGTGTACTTTGTCCACTACAGTAGCCACTGTCTACAGGTGATTATTGAACACTTAAAATGTGAGTGGTGTAACTGAGGAGCTGGTTCTCATTTAAGTTTAAATAGTCATATACAGCTAGTAGTTACTGATTCAGACAGCACAGGTTTGCAGGGAAAAAATAGGAGAAAAAAATAATAGGAGGCAGTTGGTTATCTCAGGGAGAAACAAAGGAATCCAATCCATCTTCTGCTGAGAACATTCTGTGTGAGATTTACTCCCTAATGAGGGTTTCCAGGATCCATTAAATTGTCCTGCTCATTTCTTCTCTAGTATAGATGTTTCTGAGGGCAGCAGATAGGTCCATTTAAGTTGACTGGTAAAAAATTCTGTGGAGAATTCTTGAAATAGAAAATATGGAGATAGTTTTTCTTGGTTTCCATCTTTTAGGTAGCTCTTCTGCTTAAGATCCTCTTAGGATACCTCTGGGGTTCTAAGGCAAGAGAATGCAAGCTTTGCAAATGGTGACCGTTGATTGAGCAATCCAGGCCAAAATACACCCCATAGACCACTACTCTTTTCCTCTTTCTTGGAAACTAGGGCAAGTATGCCTTAATTTTTCAACCATGGAATTCTGAGTGAGAAGTTGTATGTTAAAGTCCCAGATTCATCTCCAGCACTGGGTGACTATACACAAGTCACTTAACCTCACCTAGTTGCTTTTCTCCTCTGCAAAACTGGGTTAAAGATAATGAGCTTCGTAAATTATATCTTCTATAAAGGGTAGAAGTGGGAATCCAATGAGATAATGCCAAGGATCTACTTTTACACTTGTGAAGGCTTTTACAAATGTCTTAGCAACTCTTATGTTTATGTATTGCCTTTGCCTCTCAAAACTGCTTTCATGTTTATTATCTTATCTTCACCACAGGCCAACGAGGGAAGTAGAACAAGAATTATTATCTGTGTTTTACCATCTGTTAATGTAGACAAATGGGGCCCATAAGAGCTAAGAGACTCACCTAAGGTTACACAGTGCGTCTGGCTGTACCATGCCTGGCTAAACCCTGAATCTATTGAGTCCCTGCCAAAGCCAACAGACTTAAGCTTGATATCCAGAAATTATGCTTCAGGATAAAAAATGGAATTACTTCTCTTCAATAAGCAAAACAAGCTCAACATGAGTCCAAAACTGAACATTTATAACGTCAGTAATGGTAACAGATTGTAACCCATTGTAGTGAGAATTTTATTATTATTATTTTGTCTAATCTACATATAAATCTATGAGTTTGTGTAATTATCAGCCCCATTTTTATGAATGAGGAAATCAAGACAGAAAATGGTTCTGAAGTTTGTTCATGGTCCACAGAGCTAGTAAATGCCAAGAAAGATTGGATTTATTAGTTTATTAGGGCTGCTGTAACAAAGTGCGATGGACTGGGTGATTCAGACAACAAAAATGTGTTATAGCACAGTTCTAGAGCAAGAAGTCTAAAATCAAGGTATGGGCAGGTTATTTCTTCTAAGACCTGGAAGGGAAGAATCTGTTGCAGGCCTCTCTCAGCTTATCAATGGCTGTCTTCTCTCTGTCTCTTCACCTCTCCTTCCCTTTATTCCCATTTTTATAAGGACTTGAGTCATATTTGAATAGTGACCACTTTAATTTGATTACCTCTACATATAAAGGTAATCTATGTGGACCTTGTTTCCAAATAAAGTTACATTCTGAGGTACTGGAGGTTAGGACTCCAACAAACGAATTTGAGGGTAGATGGGACACAGCTCGGTGCCCAACACGGAGTACAAACCCAGTTGGCCAGGGCAGTAAGCTTCCAGACTGCACACGCTGTTAAGCATGATTCTCTCATGCTTCCTGACTTTCCAGAATCAAATCATTTCTCTTGCCTTCTGATAGGAACAGATATCAAGACCTAGATCGTGGCATTTGTCCTTGAAGTCTAATTGTAGGGCCACTGGACAGAAAGTTACCCCCTAAAATTCTTAAGCTGGAAGAGTGCGCCCCAAAAATGTTTATCTAAGACACTGGTTTCCAGCTTACTGGGCAATTTGGCATTGAGGACTTTTCCCATAAACATTTACAAATATTCTGCTCTGTAATGAAGTTAATCAGTAAACCACACAACCTCTGGCCCCTCTCACTTCTTACCTAGTCTCATTTTCAGTTGCTGTGAATAAGCTAAGAATGGTAATGCAGTTTCAGGGATTAGACAATCCAGTTCAATTTAGTCCTCACCACAGCCACACGCCATCAGAATTTGTCACAGAAATGATGAGTATGAAGCCTGCTAAAGGTAAGACACTGTTTATAGGTGCTTCAGCTGGACTGAGGAAACCTGGGTCTTTTGTTTGAGATTATAACAACAGATCTCTGTCAGAGATGGCTCAGTCAGACCCAGAAGATTGGGGCAAGAAGTTGGGATGGGGTGATTTTTTTTATAGGATTTTAAGTAGGTGAGTAATCAAGATTAAATCTAGGTGTGTTTTCTCTAAAATTTGTCATGGGATATTAGATCAAATTAGCACCATCCTTTCAAGTTAAGTCAACTGTTAACCTTAATGTCAGTAGATACTTAAAAAAATTACTTTCTTTAATGCTATGTTTTAAAAATGGTGAGCCTCAGATCTCATGTGGATAACGAAATCTGCTTAGCGGCTTGGGACCAGTATTAAAAGCTGGAATAGAACAGACTGAAAGAATAGAAATATCATTGTGCCCCTCAAGAAGTAAAGATAAGTGTTATTTCATAGAAATTTTGTTTCAGTTACATATGTATAAGTTGGTACAAAAGTCATGTATATAAAATGTATTTAAAACTATGGGAAGTGGTAAAAATAATAAATATAAAATTAGAAACATGGATTTGATGAACTAGATTCATAGCAAGATTTTTCCTAACAGTCTATGGCCAATTGGAAAAGTGAAGCTGTAGATATAGGCTATTTGTTTTCTCTGAATTAAAATATAGGTTATAATTAAAAGACAGTATAAATAAAAGTATATAAATATTATTTTAACATTTTTCTGAAAACAGAAATTCATCTTTTAAAATTTCCAACAGAATGAGTTCGGATCATTTTAACAATAGTTAGAGTTATGAGCATATTTTTGATCATAGACTTGGCAGTAGACCATTTTGCTCAAGTGTGATGTTCTTAATGACACACTGTACTTAGAAATGGAAATTAATTGGAAGGCTGGGGAAGCAAGTTTCCCATTCCTTTCAATTTCACACACATGTATTAAATATTTGCTATGTGTCAGTCATTATATCAGATGGCAGAAATTATAAAAAGGGAATATGAGCTAATATTTTTCCACAAAGAGTTCACAGGCTAACCACAATAATAACAAAAATGCACCGAATGTTTGTACTGTCAGGCAGCATTCAGTTTACATTCTTTGTCTGAGTTCATACTAAGTTTAGTGTCATTCCCAAGTTCACACATGTAGCAAGTTGCAGGTGAATTGAGTCCATGTCCATCCACTCAGTAGTACACTCTTCACTGGCTTCTCATGCCCCTTCAAGTTTAGCATGGAAGATAAGCCCGTGAGCAAGTAAGAATGATTGTATGTTCTTTTAATCAGCGTGGTAGCAGAGGTGTGCAATGAGGGTAGGAGAGATGAATTCCCCCCAGGGGAAACTGGAGCAAGCCTCACAGAGGAGGTCATCAGCTGACAAAGGCAGGGAGAGGCACCAACATCACAAAGACCTGGTGCCAGGAACAGTCTTTACACAGTCTTCAAACAGTTTACAAATGAAGCAGTGTCATCTGTCCGAGAAATCACAGATTAGGAAACGAAGGTAGAAAGGCTAGGTTGTCATCCACTTCAGCAAACACTTATTAAACATTTGCTGTGCTCAGCATTGTACTAGGGCTAAAAAAAACTCAGAAGAACTTCGACACTTTCTCAGGAGCCATCAGAAACTAACCAGAAGATCATGGGAGACCGCCAGCATGAGTGTGTGAACTTGATTGTCCAGTCCACAGTGGTTCTGGTCACAACTCCTTAGAGCTGCATCTTCTAAGAGGACAGTCACTAGCCATGTGTGGCTATTTAATTTTAAATTTGAATTACTTAGGATTCAATGACATTTAAAATTTTATTCCTTAGTATTACTAGCCACATCTTAAGTGTTGAATGTTGGTTATTGGTTACCACATTGGTAGCTACAGAACCCTTTTATCACCTTAGACAGTTCCTCTGGAGGGTAGTGAATCTATCCTTTAGAATTCCTTTAGAGAATCTAGTGAAAGCTAGAGACCCTCTATCCAGGGTGTTTCCTTTCCAGGGGCCTCTCCTATCTCTCTCCTTTCCAGGGATTGTCAAACTTCCATGTTCCTCCATACAAGAACTCATCCATAAACTGTCTGTCTTATTTATTTGAGGTACTGGAGATTGAACCCAGGGCCTTCAGCATGCTAGGCAAGTGCCACTTGAGCCATGCCTTCAGTCCATCTTCCCTAAACTGTCAAGGAGAATTTTCTGTTATAAAAGAATTCAAACTCACATACTCTAAAATTGAACTACTTCATCCCTTCCACATTTTCTCTACCACATGCTTATTTTCTTGTTTTTGTCCCAACCCTTGGCATTCCTAGCGACCCCCCCCACCACTTAACACACAAACAAAAGAAAGGTTGGGGTTTTTCTATCTGTCTTGTTCATGGTTGTATCCTTTCAGCTTAACACAATTTGTGCCAAATAGCAAGTGTTCAATATATATTTACGAAGAAAGAACTGTGCTAATACCTATGTCATCAGAACGAGCTATATATTAATAATGACTAATTATCTATCATTAAGATCAAGGTTTTGCTAGGTTTGTTAGGATCAAAACTTTTTCATAACTATATTTTATACTCAGAATTATGAGATATTAAGGGTGGGGCTCCATTTTATAGAAGAGATGAGAACAGAAAAGGGCAGGCAGTTATTTAAGATTGTTCTGGTCCAACCATTTTGGAATATGTTATAGCCATGCTGGTTCTTTAGTTGCAGGTGCCTGTATTTTTACCTCTCTAATATGTGGAGATTTGGTGAGCACACTGTGAAATAGAAGTAGACGTGTTTTGAGAATAAAGGCATTATTTAATATTATTGTGTATTGTTCTCATATTTTTACCATGTCTTATTGTTTTAAGCTTTATATTATCTATGTCGAAGATTTCTACTTTAATCTAGATGATTCTACAGATTAATATGACATTGATCCCATTATCTGACCTGAGTTGGGAATCTATTATTTCTTGATTATGGGAATATTTGTCTTGTTGAAATAATGCTCAGAGATCTTGAATTGTTAATGTGAGGAGAAAATGTTTCACAGTTTCCCTGATTCTACAGAATCTAGATTCTGTCATTAATTGGTTGTTTGACCTTGGGCAAATCGCTTCACCTTAGTAAACCTGTAGTGGAGAGAAACTGGGCTGTGGTGGAGAAGAAGGGATGAGAGGACAGTTCAAAGGATAAAAATCTAGGAATGAGTGAAACGAATCCTTTTATTATTTTTTAGTTCTTTTCATTCTTATTCACTCCAGAAATTTTAGTCATATTTGGTTATGAAACGGTTCAGGATTTTGCTTTGATTTTTTCTTTCGTTGTGTAATAATTTGTATTTTTATTCTTCTATTTTTTTGGTCATAAGACAAAGCATTAAAAGTTTTGTCTGTCAGATATACTGATTTTTTTCTCCTGGTTTATGTGGATAAGTTGGGCATGAAGGGAAGGAAATTGATTTTTGCCCAGACTCTGTATATTGTGTGCTTTGTTAGTCATTTCCTGGGTGAGTGCAGAGGCATCATCTCCAACATTTAATATGTGCAGGCTTCCACTTTGTAGAAAAGTTTTGAATTCTGATGCCTATAAACTATTAGTCATATGCTTATGGAGATTTTAGATATGAAGAACTGGAAGATGGTCTGGCATAATCTTCTCTTTAATGAGCAAAGGGAGGCCCAGGCAGGGTGGGTAAGTAATGGTTTTTAAACACCATAGAACTAGTTATAACCATGACTTCTCAGGACCTAGAGCCAGAGAAGACTTCCTAGGAAAAGCAATACTTAACATGGAAATTTGTAGACAAGTGGAGGTTAGTAAGATGAAGATCTGGAAGTTTCCAGGCTCAGGGAGCAGCAAGTAGGAAAAGTCAAGAGTTAGCAAGACACATTCAGAGAACAGAAAAGTTGGAACAGAAAATGCCTGGAGAAAAAGGGGTCAGACATGCTGAGCCTTGGGGCTTAGCTGTAGGTTATGTGCAGTGTTAGCATTCAAGGGAGTAATAAGCTCAAATACAGGGAGCAGAGAAAGGCTTTCACTATCATGCTTTGGAAGCATCCCACTTCTGAAGTTATCAGACAGTAGTGATTTCAGAACATGGGCTTTGAGGTCAGACTCCTGAAGTTGAAGTCTTACCTACTTTGGTAGGTGAGAGTAAAAAGTGGAGTAGCTTTTACAAATGAGTGCCACAGGGTACTTATTTGTAAGTGGAAAATAATAGTCTTCCCCAGCTCATGAAATTTTTGTGAGAACTGTATGAGAATATACAAATGCCTGGCATTTAGAAGGAATATATAGATGTTTCTGTCAATAATAGTAATAGCATTCTATATCTATATCTATATCATCTATCTATCTATCTATCTATCTATCATCTATCTATCTACGTGCATTGATCCACAATTCCTAATTGCCAATTACAATTTCCAAATGCAGTGAGAACCATTTTTTTTAAAGTTTGGTACAGTGTTGTTTGGTGGTGAAACTTGACTTGGGTGGATGTGAAGCTATTTGTAGTCATTATTTATTTATTCTACATCGTGTGTATTTGTAACATTTCACTGTGGAAGATGCTGCTGTGTTTGATTCTGGGTACTGTCTCAGATGGTGCTGTGTTATCTAAATACAATGGCATTGTGTTCTAAAATTCAGAAAATCTTAAATTCTAAAACATGTTTGAAGGCTGGGTATGGTGGTGTACATCTGTAACCCCAGCTATGCAGGAGGAGTAGGTAGGAGGATCCTAGTCCAAGGCCAGCCCCAGGAAAAATGTGTGAGACCCTATCCAAAAAATAAAAAATAAAAAGCAAAAAAGGGGTGAGTCAAGTGGGAGAGTGCCTGAGTTCAAAATCCCAGTATCATACACACACACACAAAAACCCAACAAACAAGCAAACAAAATCCACATCTGATTCTGTATTATCTCAGCTCATCAGCAAAACCCTTCCTTTAGATACTCTCATCCAAGCTTGCTGCTGTGAAAACTGAGCTTCATCCATACTTGATGTAACCTGTTCAAAGTCCCATGCTCATAAGACCTGGAATTTTGCTCTAGCGTTCTCTCTGACAATGCTTCTCCCTCTTATTTACGTCTGTTACGGTTAGTAGTGTGCATAATCTAAAGACACCTGTTTCCTAAAGAGCCACAGCTTTTGTATCCAGGAAACAGAAGCATTTTCATAACCTGGTAGTCTTTATTACAGGGAGGTTTTATATATAAGCAGCTTATTTAATAATAATGGTAATAGGAATGATAGTTATTATCTTGTTTTAATGTCAGCTATTATTCATTGAGCTCTTGTTATATGCCAAATTTAACAAAGTGTTTGGCATATATTATCCCATTTAACCCTACATCAGCCCAATTATTATAGGTACTTACTATTACTCCCTGTTTTATGAAGAGAAATGTTTGACTTAAAGATATTGAGGAAGTTGTCAGCTGTACACAGTAAGTACCAGAGCAGGTATCTGAATCCAAGCACACAGCATCCATGTACTGCATTCTTTTTTTTTTTTTAACCTCTTCCTTTGTTTTGAAATTACTAAAGTAACTTATACACATGGCAAAAATCACAAACAGTAAAGAGATTGTTCAATCTCCTGCTTCAGAAAATAATGCAATAATATCACCTTCCATGGTCACCACCTGGCATGATTCAAGTGGTAGAGGGCCTCTTCACAAGCTCGAAGCCCTGAGTTCAACAAAAGTGCCAAAAAAAAAGTCACTCATAACAATCTTTACAAATTTAAGGATGAAAATGGTTATATTGTAGCATTAATTTGAATTTAATTATTGACAAAGCCAAACACATTTTTGTGTGTTTATAAAACACATGTATTTATATTTCTAGAAAGTGTTTATGTCCTTTATTCTTTTTCATACATTGCTGAATGTTTTCTTATTGGTTTGCAAGGGCTCATTATATACTAACGCTATGTCCTTGGTTTATCCTCCATATTTATTTATCTGAGCTTTTAATTTGTCATTTAAATATATACATATATACACACATATTTTAAAAGTTAATTTTATATAGATAAACACATATTATAGTTTATATGTATATTTTATAGTTTACATAGTTAAATTTATATTTCAGTCTGAGAGCCCATACTCCTAGTCATTGTGCTAAGCTTCCTCTTAATTTCTTCAATGATGACATTAATTTTAATTTCGTTGTCACTTCTGTTCAGGTGTGCTACCAGAACAAGCGGCATGCCCTCTAGGACAGACTCTAGATGTGGAACCCTACTCCCAGTACAGCAGTGCTCAGTTTCCCCAAGTTCAACCCCAGGTCTCCTCATCGTCCTATTATCCTAACATGGGGTTCTACCCCCAGCAGCCTGAAGAGTGGTACTCTCCTGGAATATACGAACTCAGGCGAATGCCCGCTGAAACTCTCTACCAGGGAGAGACTGAGGTAGCAGAGATGCCTGTAACGAAGAAGCCCCGAGTGGGCCCAACAGCAGGGAGGATAAAAGGGGATGAGCTGTGTGTCGTTTGTGGAGACAGAGCGTCTGGATACCATTACAATGCCCTGACCTGTGAGGGGTGCAAAGGTAAGCATCTTTAGATTGGCGTCTTCTACTGGTTGTTAAAATCCCTTGAACAATTCTTCCCTTTTCCCAGATAACTTCTTATTTTCTGCTTTTATGCTTCCACCTCCTTCTACCCTCTTGCTTTTTTTAGATTGCCATGGATCTCTGTGAAAAGCCTGTAAGAGTGTTTACGTAGACTTTTCCATGTTCAAACCTTCACACAATTAAATGGAAGTTATGATTTAATTTGATCTGTTGTGGGGTTTGTTTGTTCTTGTTTTTTTTTAAGAAGGAAAGAAAAACTGTTGAATTCATCTCTTTTAAAATTAACATTGAAGATAATGAGATTTAATTCAATAAATATCTTAGTGTACACTTTATGTACTTTAGTTGAGAGAAGAAAACAGAGGAAAAGAAGAAAGTATTAATAGCTCATATTCCACAAATAGTCTATGAAAAACATGGATCTCTGAAAGAGACTATTGCAGAATCATAATGGGACTGCAGTCTATTTAGATGGATGAAATTTAACATGTGAAACAGGGAAATGACCCAAAGTTCCCGTGATTACTCTTCCAGTGAGGGTGCAGATAATGTGTTTATAAAATTTCATAGGAAAGGGTAGAGAGGACTAACAGATGTATATATTTATTTTTGTATTTATTCATTCAACAAATATTTTCATAATGCCTTCCTTGTGTTAGACAGTCTGCTAGCTTCTAGGATATTGAAAGCTGAATGAGCACTGTCCCTTGAGCAGAACCTATGGGACTGTGGACCAAATTGGGGTTACCAGAGGCCAATGATTGTCTTGAAAATAAGCAGAGTATCCAGTCACACACAAAAAAATGGATCAAGGACATTTCAAGCCTTTGAAATTTAAAATTTTCAGGTTATGTTAAACTGTATTAGTCACCTCTTAAAACTGGGTGTGATTTTGTTAGAGTTTAAAATTTTTTAAATATTTGGTTAACATTATTAATTGCATGTGTTAATGGGGTTCAGTGGAATATTTTAACACTTGCATATAGTGTATACTCAAATTCTGCCTCCTTTTACCACCATCTCCTACTATCCCAAACTTTGGTAATCACTATTATACATTCAAGTCAACTTCTATGAGGGAAAACATACAGTGCTTGTGTCTTTCTGTGTCTGGCTAGGGGACAGTTAACTCATGTCCCCTAGTTCCATCCATTTTGCTGCAAATGACATGATTTCATTCTTCTTTGTAGATGGGGGGAAAAGCTGAAAGCATTCCCTCTGTTTGAGAATATGACAAAGGTGTTCACTCTCACCTTTCTTATTCAAAATAGTACTGGAAATTTCAACTAGGGCAATTAGGCAAAAGAAAGAAATACAAAGGATCTAGAGGTATACCTCAGTGGTAGAATTCTTGCCTTACATACTCAAGGCCATGAGTTTGATACTTAGCACTATGAAAAATAGGAATAGGAAGAGAGAAAGTAAAATTTTCCCTGTTTGCAGATGATATGATCCTAAATATAGGTAAAGACTTTATCAAAAGACTGATAAGCAAATTCAGAAATGTTACAGTACACAAAATCAGTATTCAAAAATCAGTATCATTTTTATGCACCTATAATGAGATAGCTGAGGAAGGAATCATAAAAACAATCCCATTCACAATAGTGACAACAAATTAAAATATCTAGGAATAAATGAGAATTACAAAACACTGACTAAATTGAGGAAGGCCAATCTCTCCCACCAAAAAGATCTCTTATGTTCATGCACTAGAAGAATTAATAAAATGTTTATACTGCCGAAAGCAATTTATATATTCAACACAATCTTCACCAAAAGTTCTTAATAGAACTAAATGAGAAAATCTTAAGATTCAGAGGGAAACAAAAACGGCTCCAAATAGTGAAAGAAATTTTGAATGAAAAGAACAAAGATGGAGGTGTCACAATACCTGATTTGAGACATACTTATGTGCCATAGTAACCAGAGCAACGTGGTATTGGTGTAAAAATTTACACAGAGAGCAATGGAACAGAATAAAGATCCCAGAAATAAACTCACACAGCCAACTGATTCTCAACAAAGGTGCTGCAAACATACAACCTCTTCAATAAACAGTGCTGGGAGAAATGGATAGCACATGCAGAAGACTAAAACTTCATCCCCATATTTCACCCTCTCCAAAAATTGACTCAAAATGGACCAAAGACCTTGATGGGAGACCTGACACTATGAAACTATTACTAGAAAATATAGAGGGAGCTCTTCAAGACATTTGTGTAGACAATGATTCTTTGGATATGATTCCAAAAACAGACAAATGAGATTAGATCAAACCAAAAAGCTTCTGCATAACCAAAGAAATAGCCAAGTGAAGAGACAACGTACAGATTGGGAGAAAATAGTTGTCAACAATAATCTGACAAAGATTAATATCCGGAATTTTTTTAAAGAAGTATTTATGCACCAATTTAAAAACATCTAACAAAGATCTATGTAGAAAATATAAAAAAGCTCATTCATAGCCCTCAAAATGTCCTTACCATTGCTGTGGAGTGCTCATATAGATAAATTTACATAGGTGGGTTTATATATTCTTATACATTCTTGAAGGCATGCATTGTGTCTTTTCCACCTTTATTATTGTTCAAAGCACTTAGCACGGTGCCATGCTTACATGGTATGTGTGGAATAAATGTATTTTAAATGATGCAAGGAAAATCTATGCTTATTGATGGTACTCAGTCAGCTAATACATATAACTCCACTTTGTAAAAGTACATTCAAAAGTTTCTACAATATTTAATTCTTTCCCACCTCCAAATGATAAAAAGCAAGTGTTACTTATCAGCCCCAATGCCTAATGACACTTGTTTTGTGAAAGGGCAGAGTTACAGAAATGGGTATCTGCTTAGGTGACAGAAAGAAAAGAGGTTAGAATGAAGCAGGGGAGAATTCTTTATTGGATAGGAAAATAAAATAGTTTCAAAATGATAAGCCTGCATTGTTGGATCAAAATAAGCAAGGATAAAAGTTGTACAGAAGTTTTGGGAAGCTGTTTACTGACATGGAAGACAGGGAGGGGAGCCATCTCTGTGGTAGGTCTAGTCAAAAGGTAGTGGAGGCTGTTACTCTAGACAGCCAAGTTAGGGCCAAAAAGATGAAGCTTATGGGATAAAATGTTTGGGGGCTTAATACAAGAATGAATTTTCTAATGCTAACATGAGTCATTTCAGTCATGAGATTGGTTTCCTGCTTCAGGTGATAACAACCTCCTCGTTATTAGAAGACTTTGAAAAGAGGTTAGATGAAGAGGCATGAGTCCCTCTACAGGAAATTTCTGCGTTTTTTGAGAAATTATATTAGGTAGCTGCTGAGGTCCTTCTTTAAATCCTCTGACTCTATAGTACCTCCTAGGACTTAGCATTCTTGTAATTATTTCATATTTTCATGTCACTTGTCTTATTTGTAAACTTCATAAGTAGCCCCTCTGACTGCATTGAGCTGATGAAAGAGAAAGAGCAGGGTTTCTAAACCTTGGCACTAATGAAATTCTAGGCTGGAAGACTCTTTGCTGTGAGGGGTGTTCTGTATCTATTGTGGTGTGTTTAGCAGATGCCTTTGGCACACTCCAAGCTGTGACAACTAAGTGTTTACCAACATTGGTAGCTGTCCCCTTGGAAGCAAAATCACCCCAGTTAGAACCACTGAGATAGAAAGTACTGTTCTAGAGTTTCTCAACTTGAGCTAGCCATGGAGTTTCCTTGAAGGAAGCTATTTCTTAGGTGATTCTGTTACTCAGATTGCTTTTTATACAATTCCTTATGCTGTTTTTATTCATTGAAAGACTTCTATCCAAAGGAACAAAATGATGTTTTCAAAGTTAAATATAAATAAAACTATAAAGCAAATAAAATAATAAGATGTTTGAGTTCTGTGGTTTGGTTGCTCAAAATTCTGGTAAAACACAGATTCTCTTGAGTTTGGCATGTATATACCCCATGTCATATAAGACTTCAATTCTCCACTGCTTTTCTCTGTTCCAATAGTTGGTTCATCTCAACCTTGGCTCATCCATGCAAGTTCCATTTGTCCTTCCCTAATCCGGGAATACATCATGCATATCAAGTTTATCTTTGCTATTTTTCTCATAGCTCCTGATAATTAAGTCATATTTCTTGCTGATAGTGCTGTCATGGTCACAAACAAAAATGAGGGCAATTAGTTTGAATTTCAGTATACAATGGCAATAGAGATGACCCAGAGAATACTACTATCAGCTAAAGACTTTCATAAAAAATTATAAAAATAAATATGTGTAAAGGACTTAGAAAAAACATTAGCCTATAGTAAAAACTCAATAAATGCCTCTTATTATAATTATGGTTTTCAAATCTATTTACACAAAGTATGTAGAAATTTGGTTATTTTCTGCTTATATTGAAAGCATTGACGCACAACCCATTTTATTTGTTTGGTAAGACTTACTCTATTGGACATTGAATCAAATTACCAAAATCCACTTCCACTTGCCTGTGTAGACTAATGCTACTAACAGTTTGGCCCCTGAGCCAGCAGTATCGACATCACTAGGGAAATTCTAGGTAATTTGGTGTCTTGCCCCAGGCCTATAAAATCAGGATTTCTGGGAAGCCATTTACAAGAATCTGTGCTATAACAACCTCTTCATGCTAAAGTTTGAGCACTACTGCTACAGATTATATCTAAAAGACACCTGAGGGGACCCATATGGCCAAGAAGCTTGGTTGTGTGTTGTGACTGTGAGACCTCAAGGATGAGAACAGAGAACAGGGGTAGTATAACTTTCTATTAGATCACTATTTGGATCTAGTCCAAGATCCAATGCTGTGGACTTGAAATCTGGGCTAGGAAGATGTGAAGTCTAATCTAAGTTATGAGAGAGAAAGAGACAAAAAGAGAAAGAGAGAAAGAAGGAGGGGGAAGAGGAGGAGAACAAAAAGTGTTTATTCTGAAAGTCTGATTCAAAAGGAAACTTCTGACGTACACACTTC